ATTTAAGACATACAACTGCAATGAAAGTAACACAAACAATTATGTTACAGTACTATGATACTGTACTGATATCTTCAGACTTTGTTCTTTACTTTATCCGTCTTTATATGTAGAAAATATTACGTTTTCTCCGTAATGTTGTTTCCATAACAACAACAACTTCCTGTCAACTGTCCTTCAAAATAATATATTATATCCTTTTTAGTTTCACAGAACACAAATTGGGTTATTTACATAATATGTTTACATGATTTTGTTGTGCAATAAAACAACTCGATGGACACACGATAAAGGAAATGTTCAAATTCGGCTGTGATCGTAGCAACATCGGGCCATTCGTGAGGGCATCTTAAGTCTTCGTATGACCGCCAGTGGAGTTTCTCAGGCTCCGGTGTTCCGGATTGACTGGTTCCCCGATCAACTGGTTGACAGATGTGGAGGCGTGGCCTTCGACTGAAATACACATTTCGATCGCTTCTTCTGTCGTTTACATAAATCTTTTGGTATATTTGGCTGGATAGGAACACTTTGATGCACATTCAGTACCAGTGTGTGAGGTTGTGGTTACAATGGCGATATCCGGACGCGAACAGCGAGGACTACAAAAAGAAAAACGAGTTGACATGGGATGTCTGTTCAAAACATTGCGAGCTCCAATAAATCATTTAAACCAGCTATTGTTGCCAGACTTATTTCTGAATATCGTTCTTAATGTGATACACAGTCCATCTGAGACGTGTGTACACCTTCAGACAGCCTCCAAGTGAAGCACACGTTGTTTACTCACAGTTTGAAAGCAGCGTGGAGAAGTCCTTCAGCTGTGTTAAGCTGTGATCGCTCGAATAAATCCTTAAAACCAGCTATTGTTGCCCGACTTATCACTGAATATCGTTCCTAATGTGATACCAAGTCCATCTGAGACATGTGTACACCTTCAGACAGCCTCCAAGTGAAGCGTACGTTAATTACTCAGAGTTTGAAAGTAGCGTGGAGAAGTTTTCAGCTGTGTTAAACTGTGATCCTCTCAGGTAAACTGCGATTCGCTCAGGGTCAACTGGGATCCACCCATGGGAAAATGGGATCCGCCCAGGTTAAACTGTGTTACGACTTCTGTGGCTATCTACCAGCGATCATGTTTAATATGAAAGACACACACATATACATCTCTTATAAAAACGGCATTCTGCAGCACTCATCCAGATAACATGTGACTGCTAACTCGTTTTGCAAAGATAGCAGCAGAAATGTCATTGCTGCATGTGCAGGGATATTAGACTTTAAAATGCTGATGGGTCATTAATGTTGGTCTCGGCAAACAATATTAGGAATCCTCTATTCAAACTACATAATATTCAGTGTCCATCAACATGAAAATAACAAAAAAGTTCATGCTGGACTCAAACCCGAGTCCCAACAGCAAAAGTCTCTCCAGCCCTGCGCGTTATGAGTGCGCCACGGATCAACACCATACCTCTCAGAGAATCAAAAATGAAATAACTGTTCAAAACACTCACGTCAATTACATTACATGACATTGCATTTACCTGACACGTTTATCTAAAGCGACTTACAATAAGTGCATAAGACCAGGAAAATACAAACTTGAAGAAAACAGAATCATATAAGTACATCAGGTTTCATAGAGCCAAAACATTTCAAGTGCTACTCAACTGGCTTTAGGTAAGCCAGTCCTTTATTAAGTGCTTTGTTAATAGTTCTAACGTCAATAAATCCTTTACAAACTATTCTTGTTGTCAGTCTTACATTTGTATCATATATCGTTATTAATATGATGTTGAGTCGATTTGATACCCGTTTATACAAGTATAAACGGGTATCGGGTGTACAGACTTATCATTAATTGGCACATGGGTCCAGTCTATATAAGTTGGATTAACCTTTAACAATTTTGTGAGGTAGTGAGGAGATAGAGAGATACAGAGAGATACAGAGAGAGAGAGAGAGATACAGAGAGATAGAGATAGAGATAGAGATAGATAGATAGATATATAGATAGACAGACAGATAAAGAGAGAGATAGCGAGAGATAGCGAGTGATAGTGAGATATAGTGAGTGATTGAGCGTTGCCTGTGATAGAGTGATTGTCCTGGTGAGTGGTGGGTGAGTAATTGAGGTGCGACTGTGTGTATTTGAGAGAGGCTGATATTGTACGTTTCCGTGTATTTGTCACTTTGTTTGTTTGTCTTTGTTGTATTAATTTGTTTGTGTGTGAATACGTGAGGGTAAGTAGGTAGGGAGTAGGAGGAGGGACAGAGAGCGTTAGAAAATGGATCCCAGAATTGTAAAACAAATTCTGGATCTGAAAGTCCACCACCAGTATCCTGAGGGGTCAACCAAGAATGAACAATATGTCATGAAGAGGAGAGCTGACACCTTCATGATAAAGGGTAAGGACTCTAGAATACAATGATAATATGCTATGGTAAAACTAATACATCTAATATTATGTCATATAAACACCAGACGGAGAACTGTACTACATCTGCAGGCGCAAAAAGAATCAAACCGACGAGCACCTTGCCAAAGTGGTCTCTACTGCTGAAGAAGCAAACGATTTGTTTGAGGAGTTTCACTCCAGCAACATTGGTGGACACTGGAGTGGAGAAGACTCACTGTGCCATCATTGCTCGGTACTATTGGCCTGGCATGGAGGGTGACATACGCAAGTGGGTGAGTTGGTATCTTCAAAATAATGAGGTGGAATACACATTCAGGTTCAAAAGTAGAGCACAGAGGAGTGTAATGTGTATTTCAAAATTGCTGATGCTGTATGCGCAAACACCCTATCAGTTTAAAATATAATATAGCACATTTATTTGCACTAAATATTTCTCATAACTTTGAAATGATGTGTGTCTGTTTTAGATTGCTCAGTGTCCACAGTGCCAGGCCAATAGAGCCAGTATAAAAGAAAAGCTGGAGTACAGTCCGATAGAGGTAAAAATAAACAATGGCATACTGGTATTGTCAGTGTAGAAACACGTCAACAGTGATTTACTGTAATGCTCATGTATTTTTTTTCCCCCAGGTGACAGAGCCTTTGGAACTGGTTGGGATGGACTTAGTGGGTAAACTCACAGTAACAGATGGTGGCAACCAATACATATGTGTAATGGTTGACTATTTCACCAAATGGGCAGAGGCTTACCCACTAAAGAGTAAAACAGCAGAAGAGGTGACCAATTGTATCATTGATTTCTTTTACAAATTTGGTGCACCTCAAAGACTGCTAACAGACCAGGGCTCTGAGTTTTGCAACAAGGTATAGTGTTGATGCAGTATGAATCCCCAATATGGAACTGTAGTTGCTGTGCTAATCTATTGCTTGTTTGTCCTAATGATAATTTCAAGGTCAACTCTGGCCTGTGTGAGAGGCTGAACATAAAAAGAAGCCTGTGCTCCGCGTACCACCCACAGACCAATGGCCTTGTGGAGAAGTTGAACGGCACTATACAGAGGTATTGGTTTTCAATACCTGATGGAATTCACGCTCTTCATAGAATAACAAACACATTTCCTAATGAGTAATGATATGTTGCTTTATCATACATGAGAACCCATATGCTCTCCTGCTTCCTTATACCTATACTTGAATTCTGCATTTTAAGGTCGTTGAACAAAATGGTGGCTGGTCACCCCAAACGTTGGGACAAGGTTCTGCAGTCCACCATGTTTGGTCTTCGGACAAAAAAGCAGCTGACCACACAATACAGCCCCTACTATTTGATGTTTGGGAGGGAGGCTAGGTATCCCTCCGAGGTGCCAAAGGAGTACCTGGTAAGATGTTCTAATGTTGTCATCCGTTTCAAACGTTTTCATTTGGATCATCTGTCTTCTAAAATTGTAACTGTGATTTGTTGCAGGTCAAAGAAGAGAAAGTCAGCAGGCTGGTCGCAACGGAGGAGATCCATGAAGGCCTGAACAAACAGGAGGCTGTATTCACAGAGGTGAAAAAAAAAATGAAACGAAGCCAGGACAACGTCCGCAAAAGAAAAGAGAAAAAGGGCCAGGAGGACAACTTCCAAGTAGGGGACCAGGTGTTGCAGAGGAACGTGAGACAGGAGCAAAGAAAAGGGGGAAAGCTGGACGATGACTGGTTGGGACCCTACAGCATCCTGAAATTGGAGGGGAAAAAGGCAGTACTCGCTAAGGGTACAACAAAGCTGCAGACAAACATTGATCATTTAACACATTATATCCAGCCAGAGGAGAGGATCCCTGCCAAACTACAAAAGTTGTCCGATCTCTCTCCTCTGGCTGGTCCACAACACACAAAGACACAGACACAAACACCCACCACACAAACACCCACCGCACAAACGCCCACCACACAAACGCCCACCACACAAACGCCCACCACACAAACGCCCACCACACAAACACCCACCACACAAACACCCACCGCACAAACGCCCACCACACAAACGCCCACCACACAAACGCCCACCACACAAACGCCCACCACACAAACACCTCCATCCATGGACGGCGAGGCCCAAATGGCACCAAAGGATCCTGAACTTTGTAAGTAAACAGACAGAAAGTACACTCCAAATGATGCATTTCACAAATAACTGCCATTGCTATATTTCCAGTAATTCGACAAATATGGACAGGGAGGAGAAAGCAAACGCTCTGGTGCAAATTTGGGCCATATAAAGTCTACTCAGAAAACATAATGGACTTGGCCCCAGGGAAGTGGTTGGAGGGAGAGGTAAGTTACAAAACAAAAGAATATTGGACTGATATTTATTTAGATTGTATCACAAGTTATTTTTGTACTCTTAGATAGTCAATTCATATTTAACTATGGTGGGAAGGAAAGCTGGCGCTCTCCTGATAGACTCCTACCTAATGACGTCGCTCTGGGAGGGAAAGCACAAAGGTTCTTTGAGAAGTGTGAGTAGGACTACATATTAGGATTTCTTTTTTTGTACATAAGTAGGCCTATGTATTTTGTGTATATGTATGTTTGTATGTCCATACATTACACACAAATACATACTTATGTTAGTGTATACATTAGTTGTCGTAATCATTATAATTTTTTTAGTTGGACCTTTTGAAATATGATGTGGCAGTTGGAGCGGTCTGCAGCCACGGACACTGGACGTTGATTGTAAGTAATCTTCAACGTAAACAGATCTAGACGGAACCATGACACTATCTGATGTAGGGGTTCGTTATAATTAGTATTTGCATTTCCATAGATCATGTACCTAAAGGAGAGGCGGTCCCTGTTCGTGGACCCATATGGGGCCACAGACGCATAGATAGAAACATGCAAAGACGTAACAAGGTGAATTAAATGTCAGCTTTGATGTGTGCATTAGACAAATACATGTATTCATACTCCATGGATCATCTTTTGGGATCAACAAAAAGGTCATTCAAGCATTTGTGTCCTTTAACACGATTCAACTGATCTGAAATTAAATGATTTTACTTGGGCATATGTTAAAATTGGCAAACTGTAATAAATGTTTGTTTTGTGTGTAGAGCATTGGTCCGCAAAAAGTGTCCGAAAATAGGGAGATGGGCATGCGCAACCGTTGCTCACCCTAAGCAACAGGACTCGGCATCATGCGGGGTGTTTGTGTGCAAGGTAAACATTTGATTATATCTGTTGCTATTTGTCATTATTAAAAAGTCCTCAAAATGATACTTATCAGACACTTTTTAGCTTGCAGAGCAGATATTGTCTGGGCAAAATATTGACTACCCTGTTGACCAGAAGGGTGTGGCCATGTTGCGGCTGGACATGTCAATGTCTCTAGTGACAAATTCAGGTATACAGAACTCTACCAGGTATACTTGAATGTGTCTATATTGCTATTAAACTACATTATCTTCTTTTTTGCAGATGACCTATCCCAGCTCTGTAGGGCTTGTGGGGAGCTCAGCTCGTTGGCTGAAGGGGACATTGATACGTGGGTATGTAGATAAATTCATGTCCTTCTGCTGGAAGACTGGGATGCACCTTGGATAGGTTACCTCAACATCACTGGGTGAACACTCACTATCACATAGCTATTGCAAATGTATAGTTGAATTCACCTAACTTGCATGTCTTTGCACTTTCGGTGGGCACTGGAGCAGCTGAAGGAACATACCAACACAGACTCCAAACAGAAAGGACCACAGTTAAGATTGTAACCCTATATCTGACACCCATTGCCATACTATGTAAAGAAATAATGTATAAGGAAGTTAAAACGGCTTAATTTTACATCCTAATCAGGATGAGTGATGTGAACCTGACAAAATGTTTGACAGTATTCTAAAGTATTTCTCTTTTTCCCTGTCAGATTGAGTGCACCACCTGCAATATGTGGTATCACATAGGGTGCGTGGGACTGCCCTCCCCCACAGAGGATGAGTATTTCTGCCCATCCTGCACATCTTAATGGCAGAACACTTCCTGCGCCAGCCCAGAGTATACCTGCCTCAGGAGCTGCTGATATACTCTCTACTCTGTCTACCCATAAGCCCCCCCCCCTCTCAATCAACTTCCTCTTGACTGCCTTTTCTGTTTATTTTATTTTACTATATTCATTTGTTTGCCTATCCTTGTTTGTCTACCCTCCCTCATACTGTAAAGTGTATTTGAGTTGGAGAAAGGCGCTATACAAATATAATGTATCATTATTATTACTCTGCAATAATCCAGTCTGTTCTCAGTACATCCATCACTGTGTGGTTTGGATCCCAACAGGACAGAAAAAGGCTATGTTCCTTGTATGTACTTGCCAAATAAATCTGATACTATCAGTCAATAATGTTTATTTTTAAAAGTTTAAAAGTGAAGAGGCACAACGTGACTATGTAAATGCACACAAATTGTAATCCTGATCTTGATTTTTCATTACATTTTAATATTTTTCAAATTCATTAATTATTGATTGCTATCATTGTTGTTGTGTTTCCTTCTGTCACACTAATGAGTAAGTCTACTATAGGCTACAGAAGCAAAGCTTGCATTGCACATTAGAACATGAATTTGGCCACTGTTATTATAGTTGCAATATGTAAGATTATCCCTTAGCACACCATAGGGGACATGATGCCTATGCTGTTAAGTATTTTTATTTTGGTGAGTCTGTCGCAAGACAGAAAAGACAGCCAGTATTGCTAGAATATAAACCTTTTTTTAAATTGCATTCTGTTTCTAGCGCAACAGCTTTGGTCCAGGTTTACATCCTATCAGCTACTGCATTAGCAGACAGAGCAAAAGGAAATGGGGGCCTATTTAGAAAGTTAGCGTTTAAAAAATGTCTATATTGTGAGCATAATATTATATTATATTGTACAGCATAATGTTGCATGGCAAATATCACGAAACACATGGCCTGATTTGCATATTGGAACTTAATGTGTGCACTAGAACACATTTATATGTAAAACTAACAGTTATCACAACATAATGTGGCCTCGCAGGCTGATAAACTAGGATATCTGATCTCGGTGGGTCTTAATGAGGCTTGATACAGACCTCAGTCAGTATACTATATTATAATATGTATATGGCTTAAAGTGTACATACATACATTCGCTCACATTATAAATGACAGTCGGGTTGCATTTTTCTGGAACTTTTTAACAAGGTTAATCTAAAATATTATAGTGTGGTGGTTCAATGAGTCGTGTTGATCCGTGGCGCACTCATAACGCGCAGGGCTGGAGTGACTTTTGCTGTTGGGACTCGGGTTTGAGTCCAGCATGAACTTTTTTGTTATTTTCATGTCGATGGACACTGAATATTATGTAGTTTGAATTCCTAATATTGTTTGCCGACACCAACATTAATGACCCATCAGCATTTTAAAGTCTAATATCCCTACGAGTTAACAGTCACATGTTATCTGGATGAGTGCTGCAGAATGCCTTTTTTATAAGGGATACATGTGTGCAGTGGCGTTTTTATATGTACAAAAGTGGTGGGGCACACAAAACTTAGATGTCTATATATAAGCTTCTGCAGTGAGGTTCATGGCTGGTGAGGCTGACTCTTCAGGTTTACAAATATTATATTTTGACCTAAATCTAAATATAATATTATTTTCAAAAGCTTTTTTTGTCTGATGCTTCAATTAATTTTAAACAGACAGTTCAACAAAAGGATACCCAAAAAATGTAATTGTATCATTTAAATATTGAATTGTTCTCTCTTAGTAAGATCCCATTTTCAATCAAATTGCAGTCTTACCTTGACATGAAGATGAAGTCCATTTGCCTATCCTTCTGGACAAAAATCTCTATTACTTTTTTGTAAAAGTCATAAATTATAAATCATAAATCTGATCTAATCAATAGATTTATGATTCGAAAATTATAAAAGTAGGGTAGACATGTGGATATTATCCGGCTGAACAAAACGTGCATTTATCTAACAGGTTTGTTTCCCACAGATCTTATTTGGAGCTATTTTCTAAAATCCTATGGAGAAATATCATTGCTTTTTTGTGGAGGGAAGCCATGCGCAGCTTACTTCCTGGTTTTAGGACGCCTCACTGCAGCTCTCTCTCCTCCTCTTCACACACCACACTTTTCGCGGCACACGTACTTGTACAGCCAATCAGCTCTGAATGATGTGAGATGACGTATGGTGGGGATGGCAGCACTATGCCCCTATGGTCATTATTTTTTTGCCACACACATTAAATAGGACAATACTCTGAGCATGCGCAGTGTAGTTTTTACAGTCACCATTGACTTAAACAGGGAGAGGGAGGGGCAGGATCGGGTTTTGTCCCACATGGCTCAAAACAGCTCAATAGGCACACACTGTAGACACTAATTAGAAGAACACAGACTAAAACAGCAATGTACAGACGAATCAGATGATTAAACATGATCTTAAAATATATTTTATATATTTTTTAATTTATTTTTTGCATTTTTTTGTAATCATTACTTTTAATACTTTCTGCTGACACTAGGTGGGGCTGTGCCCCACCTGCCCCTAATGACCAGTCGCCACTGCATGTGTGTAGTCTTTCATATTAAACATGATCGCTGGTAGATAGCCACAGAAGTCGTAACACAGTTTAACCTGGGCGGATCCCATTTTCCCCTGAGCGAATCACAGTTTACCTGAGAGGATCACAGTTTAACACAGCTGAAAACTTCTCCACGCTGCTTTCAAACTCTGAGTAATTAACGTACGCTTCTCTCAGATGGACTTGGTATCACATTAGGAACGATATTCAGTGATAAATCGGGCAACTTAAATGGTTTTAAGGATTTATTCGAGCGGATCACAGTTTAACACAGCTGAAGGACTTCTCCACGCTGCTTTCAAACTGTGAGTAAACAACGTGTGCTTCACTTGGAGGCTGTCTGAAGGTGTACACACGTCTCAGATGGACTTTGTATCACATTAAGAACGATATTCAGTAATAAGTCTGGCAACAATAGCTGGTTTAAATGATTTATTGGAGCTCGCAATGTTTTGAACAGACATCCCATGTCAACTCGTTTTTCTTTTTGTAGTCCTCGCTGTTCGCGTCCGGATATCGCCATCGTAAGCACAACCTCACACACTGGTACTGAATGTGTATCAAAGTGTTCCTATCCAGCCAAATATACCAAAAGATTTATGTAAACGACAGAAGAAGCGATCGAAATGTGTATTTCAGTCGAAGGCCACGCCTCCACATCTGTCAACCAGTTGATCGGGGAACCAGTTCATCCGGAACACCGGCAGCAACTTCGTGAGTGGTGGCAAAATCTTTGGCATGCCAACAAATTGCCGAAGGACCTTGAGAAGGTTCATTTTCGTGTTGAATTCGTGTGTCAATTTTAACCTTCGTAAGGCCATCGTTAGGGCATCTTGTTATCATCGGTGCCATCGGGCATTCGCCCCGATCAGAGTGAGGGCGAATGCACCGATGATGACACGATTTGACAAGATGCCCTCACGAGTGCCTTACGAAGTTGCCGCTCACGAAGTTGCTGCCGGAGCCTGAGAAACTCCACCGGCGGTCATATGATGGCTTAGATGCCCTCACGAATGGCCCGATGTTGCTACGATCACAGCCGAATTTGAACATTTCCTTTATCGTGTGTCCATCGGTGTCAATTTCGGGACAGTGTGACAGGGGCTTAAGAGATAGTCGCAAGATAGTTGTCTCAGTATTTATCGTTTCATGCACGCTCATATGAATACAGACACACGAGGAAACTGACGGCCGACGTTAGATAGACTAAGAGAGATGCTACAAGCTAGCTTCAACTTAGTTAGTGCTTTACTCTTAGCTCCTATGTTAGCTACAGCTATCTAGCAACAGTGACCGACTTCCAGTGAGTAATAGATGAGAACAAACTTAAATGCCTTGTCTAACAGTGAAGCAAGCAGACAACAAGTCTTGTGATAAACCTAAAAAAACGTGAACATTTATATGTAGGACATGATAGACAGTAATATCTTACCTTCCAACATTTCCACACACCAGGAGGAGGGAGGCGCGGAGGGAGGTCCCGCCATCTACTCTCCTGCCGGGGGTCCTGCCAATCCTATGTCCTGTGCCGTTGGAGGCCCCGCCGACTACTCTCCTGCCGGGGGTCCTGCCAACCCTATGTCCTGTCCCGTTGGAGGTCCCGCCGACTGCTCTCCTGCCAGGGGTCCTGCCAATCCCGTGTCCTGGTCCTCTTCCGTGGGGGATCCTGCCGAGGCCTGTCCCACCAGCTCCGGTTCCTGTCCGGCCGACACCGGGTCCTGCCCGGCCTCCGGCGCTGGCCC